AGGTCGAGCGCCGAAGAATAGATTCTTTTGAACTGTGGTGCTGGAGAAGACTCTTGAGAGTCTCTTGGACTGCAAGGAGATCAAATCAGTCAATCCTAAAAGAAATTAACCCTGACTGTACCCTGGAAGACCAGATAGTGAAGCTGAAGCTCAGATACTTTGGCCACTCAATGAGAAGGGAGCACTCACTGGAGAAGACCCTGATGCTGGGAAAGATTGAAGGTCAAAGAAGACGGGGACGGCAAAGGATGAGATGGTTAGACAGTGTCATAGATGCAACTAACATGAAATTAAGCAAACTCCAGATGACGGCGGAAGACCGGAAGGCCTGGCGTGATGTAGTGCATGGGGTTGCGAAGAGTCGGACTCGACTGTGTGAAGGAACAACAACAAGTACTAGGACCAGGACTACAGAACTTGAAAGAAGCCTAGACTACCAGACATGATAGAGACACAATGCATAAAAATGGTCTTACATAAGTAGCAAATACTGCAGCGACTGCAGGAGAATATATAAAGCAAATATATGGTTTTGTCTAAGTCCCTTTTTAAAGGTGCTTTCCAGAACAATTCCCTACATCGCCCTCTTACCTTGATAGAAATCCCCTCCTGAACGATTCAGTTCTGCATACTTTGTGAAATGCCAGAAATGCGGGAGCCTTTGTGACCTCCTCAGGCCAGGTATTCCACTAGGGTGGGGGCCGCAACAGAGAACGCACATGTACGCGTAGCTGTTGATCTTGCCTGAACGTGACCCAGCAGTCATGCACGGCAGCGGCCCTCGAGGGGACTCAGTAAATGTCCTGTTTTAACTGCCTGTCTGGGACTGCAAAACCAGGGAGAGTGTCAAGCCTCTCCCTGAGCCTCCATGTACAGCTGACGGACCGGGGCATGAGTTTTGGTGGACTTGGCTTAATTGAACCCAAAGCAGGCTAGACAAGTCCGTAAAATGTAAAGGAGAACTGGGGGGGGCAGGATCGGTTGGGACACGTCCATTGGCCCACTACGAGAGGGGTGCACGCATGGAGAATTCCACCACGGCTGCCACATTTAAGAATGATGAAACAGCCCCCTCTCTCCAGAGCTGCAGACACTCACACACACTTTATAAGAGGGAGGCAGGTAGGATGAGATGCCGGGTCCGCCGCTGCTGTGGGGATTGTGGTCCAATAGAAGATGGATCGCCTGTCTGGCAGGCTTGAGCGGAGACAAACAACCGCTGGGGCTGCGGGGAGGTGGCTCCAGGGAGGCGTGGAAACTGCCGAGAACCCCTTCAACTGCATCAGCAGATTCAGCCTCACACACACACCCCGTCTACTATCGAGATTGGCCGATTTCTAGGCTTCTTCTTTTTTAATAATAATTGCCCCCTTTTGAATTTCCGTCCCGAATCTTCGGCTTCCGAAAGCCCTGACTTGATTCGCAGCGCATTAGTGCTACTCCCGGCTTCCGTTTTTGATCCTTCCACTTTGTTTGGACTGGAGCAGGGTTGGGGTTTTTTCTCCCCCAGTGTGGTTCTTCTTCTTTTTTTGCCTTCATATGCTACCGACTTGTGCTCACATGCTGTTGACTCAAGATCCCCTCCCCCTTTTGGGTGCAGGGATCTAATCGACACGCAGATGAGCAGGAGTATCTCCATCACTTGTTTTTAAAAAGAAAGGAAGGTGCAAACTGTGAAGTGAGTGACAGGTGTGCATCGCACTTCCTCAGTTAATTTGAGGAATGCTCCAAGTTAAACTGGAAGGGGGGGCAAAGCCTGGTAACAGCAACCTGGGTCCTGGAGTTCTCCAGCAGTTACAATAGGGCGGGCTCTGTGGCATCACCTCCCTGCTGAGCCCCCTCCCTTCCTCAGCCCCCACTCCCGAACCTTCAGGAACTTCTCAGTCCAGAGCTGGCAATCTTACACATTCTGCTTTGGTTCTCTTAATTTAAGGAGCTGCGGTGGCTCAAGTGGTTAAGACGCTGAACTGCAGGCTGTGGAAGGTCGGTAGTTCAGCAGTTCGAGACCTGGGTTGCCGCATGACGGAGTGAGCTCCCGTCTCTAGTTCCAGCTCCTGCCAACCTAGCAGTTCGAAAGCAAGAAATTGCAAGTCGATAAATAGGTACCACTTCGGTGGGAAGGGAACAGCGCTCCGTGCGCCTTGGTGTTTAGTCATGCCGGCCACATGACCACGGAAACGTCTTCGGACAGCGATGGATCTTCGGCTTTGAAACGGAGATGAGCACCGCAACCCTAGAGTCGGATCCGACTGGCTTTCGAGCAAGGGAACCTCTCTTAATTTATCTGCAGGCCCTGTGGGACCTTATGAAATTCCGCAGGGCCTGCAAGGCTGAGATGTCCCACCAGGCTTTTTGTTGAGGAGAGTGACGGTTTCCATCTTGACTGGCACCCTCTTATGCTCTCTACATTAGTCTTACCTCTTTCCCCCTGCCCGCGAAGCGGCCGGCAGTCTGAAATGGGATTAATTTGTTCGCCATCTGTTTTAAAATGTGCCGCTTGGCTTTGTTTTATCTAGTGTACGTTTTTATTCACGTCGTACATCGCCCAGAGCCCTGCAGTAGCAGGGATTGGGCGATTAATAAGCTTAATTAATTAATAATAATAATAATAATAATAATAATAATTTTTGAATGTTAAGCCAGCCTTTCTCTCCGCAAGAAGACACAGCCACCAACAGAATCCAGAACGTATCAAAATGTAAGAACATAAGAGACGCCAATGTTGGATCAGGCCAAAGTAAATTGCTGTTTACTTGTAATTATTGTGGCAACACAATCTAAGAAGGTTATTTGTGGACCATAGGTTGATTTTATATCTACTGAGCTAGTGATTGCACTAAAAAGATTGTATGCGCATATTCACTTTGTGCCTGGCAATTTCCTTTATGGTCCTAATTGAAATTATATTTTGTATACATTTTTGATTGTGTTTTATGAGTGTAACTATTTACCATCTAGCCACACTTGTATGACCTCTGAGGAAGGCCGATCCGGCCGAAACACGTCAGGTCATTTTTTTAGCCCTGGTTATGATTATGGTTTATGTATATTGGCTGTAATTGGGCCCCTATACATGTATCAATAAATACATGTACTTCTTTTTATGAATAGGTTTTAATATTGGCCCTCTTTTCCACTAAACCTTTGTTTGGTTTTGGATCAGGCCAAAGGCCCATCCAATCCAACACTCTGTCACACAGTGGCCAAAAATACCAGGTGTGCTGATAAGGCCCCATCAAAATCAAGTTGGAAACTGACATTTGATTAAATGCCAGCAGCCTCGTAAAACCATGCAGAAAGGGTACCAGTCAGCCCAAGTGTATCCTGATGCGATGGAACAAGGCTCAGTGATGGCTTCCTGAAGCTCCACTGATTTTAATGGGGTTTGGTCATGATTAGCTTTTACCGGATGGTTCCCATAAAATGGTAGAAGCTTGCTTCAAGGGGGGAACGGAGTGTTTCTCTTGTTTGCTAGAAGGACACAGTCACACTCTGGTGAAACTTTGTAAGAACGTTGGCTGGACCATGGCATTAGAGTGTCCGATTAGGATCTGTGTTCAAATCCCCGCTCTGCCGTGAAGATGACTTACGAGCTTTAGGCCAAGGACTCTTCTTGAGCCAGACAGACACCTCACTAGGTTATCGTGAGGATAACATGAGAAAGGACCATGTATACTACCCTGAGCTCAAGGGTGGGATAAAAATGTCAATACACTGTGCCCTCCCTCAAGACACCCCTCTTTCTCCCAGAGATGGTGCAAAATCAAAAGAACTCGGGCTGTGCAAGAGAGAGAGCCAACCATCCTATCGTCTTTCCTCCCCTATAGAGAACAGTGTTTTTATGGTGAATTGATCTCTCTGGACAATGGACAATACTGACCTTTATGCAACAATGGTTTGACTACATATAAAGCGGCAAACAATGAGATGGTCACAGTCCAGAGGACTTACAATGTATGAATCATACAACTGTGATGAAGAAGCATTCACAATTATTTATCTAAAGGTGTTATACAAAACATTTTGGGAGAACTTTTTTCCTAGAATTAGAGATGTTGCTTCTCAAGCTATGAGAGTTAGAGAACTCATGAGTATGCAGCTTTTTGTTGCTTGAAGAACTCCATACTTCGCATTGACTGGCACAATTCTTGGTCAGAAGAAGACACATTGTCGAAACGGCAGCACCAATCCGGAGACCACCGTCCCGCCTTTTCGCTTCTGTTCTATTGTATTCTTGTAATAATCACATTCAGAAAGTAATGTTTTGTATAACATCTTTAGATAAATAATTGTGAATGCTTCTTCATCACAGTTGTATGATTCATACATTGTAAGTTGACTACATATAAGGCATTGTCATGTGTTCTTTTTAAGGGGACGGGCTGTGGCTCAGTGGTAGAGCCTCTGCAATGCATGTAGAAGGTCCCAGGTTCAGTTCCCAGCATCTTCAGTTAAACATATCCAGAGCAGGCTATGATAAAGACCTTGATCAGATACCCTCCCAGCCATCGAGAGCAGGGGATATGAGTTACCCATAGGTAGGCTTCACTGGATTTAGCTAGCTGTGGTACAGACCAATAAGGTATGCCTTATTGGTGGGGTGGGGGTGATGTGATACCTTGAAGCATCCCTGCCTGGAATGCCAATTAGAGACAGGCAATGAGATCAGACCAGCTCCTCCCACTATTTGGAATGAGTGCTATCCGCAGGGCCGGCTCACTCACTAGGCGAACTAGGCGGTCGCCTAGAGCAGGACGGCCCTTAGGGGCGCCAAACTGAACCCGGCCCCATACTCTGGGAGTTTCTTGATTATTTGTGTTTTTCATTCTTCCAAAAATGCATTTATTTTTGAAAATTGGTGGACGCACTGGGGGGGGGCGCCAGAAGGGATCCTCGCCTAGGGCGCAAAATAAGCTGGGGCCGGCCCTGGCTATCCGCGGGGGGGCACAATGCTTTAACGATATGCTCTCCTGTTGTCTCCCTCCCTGCCCTCTTCCTAGCAGAGTCATCGGCGGCGTGGACGGACTGCAGATCCAGAACGAGCGGACCCGCTCCATGCTGCTCTTCACCAATGTCACTGCCCGGCATTATGGCAACTACACTTGCCTGGCTTCCAACAGTTTGGGCTCGTTCAATATCACCTTACGGCTTATCAGTGAGTCCCCCGTGGTCCTGAGCAAGCTGTCTCAACTGTCAACAGGTTTTCCCACCAAACCAGGTTTTGGAGACTGAAGCCCCTTGGGGGTTTGGAAGGGCTTGGGGCTGAACTCGAGATGGCTAATGGCAATCCCGGAGCATGGTTTCTGAAAGTGGGGTGTGTAGGGGTACTAGCAAGGGGGGCTAGAGAACACAACTTCAGACCAAGAAGTCTGGGTTCATGGGTCCCCCCCCCCACTGGGGCTCACAACCTCCCCCTGGGATTATGGAAAGGGGGCAACTAATTAAATTTGTGGGATTCACTGCCAGTGGATGTCGCGATGGCCATGAACATTGATGGCTTCAAACAGTGATTAGGCTGATTCATGAAGGATCGACTCGTCAATGGCTACTAGTCATGGAGACCAAAGAGACCCTCCATATTCAGAAGCAGGGCAAACCTCTGTATACCTGTGCTAGAAGGCAACATCATGGGGAAGGCCTTGACTTTTCTGCCCTGTTTGTTGGACCTCTAGGGCAACTGGTTTGCCACCATGTGAGACGGGCTGCTGGACTAGATGGACCACCCATCTGATCCAGCAAAGCTCTTCTTATGTTCTTGTGAGGAGCTGCCCATATTTGCTGTGGTGTGAATACTTCAGGTTGGAAATGAAGTGGTTTTGAAGTTGAACATTTTGTAGAAATGAGGGAAGGAAGAGGAGTAGCGCAAAACTGGGGCCAGGATCAAAACATAAGAATATAAGAAGAGCCCTGCTGGATCTGACCAGTGATCCATCCAGTCTAGCATCCTGTCTCACACACCAGCCAACCAGTTGCACTGAAGGTCCAGCAACAGGGTATAGAGGCTGAGCCTTTCTCCTAATGTCGCTTCCTGACACTGGTATTCAGAGATTTACTGCCTCGGAACATGGAGGTTCCATTCAGTCACCATGGCTGGTAACCAATGATAGACCTATCCTCCGTGAACAACATGGAGGGGAAGACGTATGTAGGATGCTGAAGGAGCTTTGTGTGTCTGTTTCCCTCAATCTGTGTTGGCGGAGAGATGCCAAAGGTCTAAGAGAGCCAGCGTGGTATAGTGCTTAAGTGTGGCAGACTCTAATCTGGAGAGCCGGGTTTGGTTCCCCGCTCCCCCTCCACACAAAGTCTGCTGGATGACCTTGGGCCAGTCCCAGTTCTCTCAGAACTCTCTCATCCCCACCTACCTCAGAAGATGCCTGTTGTGGGGAGGGAAAGGCAAGGCAAGTGTAAGCCGCTTTGAGACTCATTAAGGTAGAGAAAAGTGTGATATGTAGAAATCTTCTGTTCTTGTAGTAAGAGGGAAAGAAGCGGGAATTAATTCTGGAGTTGACAACTAGGTACAGGACTCTATATCCTATATCTCTGGTCAACAACTCTAGCCTGGGGAGTCTTCCTCCAACTTCAGTGTCTCTTCTTAATGACAATTTCCCTTTTCCCACAGGACCAGGTTCTCTGGAAAACATGGCTGTCGCCGGCCAAACATCTCCCCTCTTCTTGGGCCTGCTGTCCTGCGTGTTTGTGACTCTGTTGTTTAAAATTTAGGGCCGGCCAGGGAAACAAAGCAGAAACAAGGAAAGGAAACTAGTGGAAGGGAAAGGATCCGAAAGAGAGAGAGAGAGAGAGAGTGAGAGAAAGCAGCATCTCTACATTCTGGGAAAGATGAAGCGAGAGAAATGAAATTTATCAAGAACCCCATCACTGTGAGGGATAGAAGAAAACAAAACACACACAAACACACACACAACAACAACAAATATGCATTTGTTTCTACAGCCATTGATCTTCACCCTCCATCTCAGACACTTCCAGTCGAACTTGTTATTTAACACAACTGAAAAGACAGAGGGCTCTAAAGGGTTAACTGCAAACAACATCCCCCCCCTCCCCACCACCACCTCTGCGACTTAATAAGCCACCATCATTCTCTTCCTTGAGTGAACTGGACCTTTCGAGAACCCAAGGCACCATCCTGGAATGCCAGTTCCATAAAGGTGTTTTTTGGGGGGAGGGGGTGTTTGGGGGTTATTGTGTTTGTTTTTTCTTCTTATTTTTCGTCTGCTATTATTCGGGGCGGGGATTTCAGCAGTTTGTCTGCATTTCTGGGCTTCCTTTTTTACTTAGTTCAGGCTGGGCTGAGAATCTCCTGTGCAAAATGGAATCATTTCCCCCAGTTCCTCCAAACGGATTTGCGTCGTCAGCTTCGACCCGCGCCTCGGGCTGGGAAACTTGGAAGTGAGAGCGGGAAGGCGATCGGCCCAGCCGCACAGCTTAGACACCGGACGCGTCTCCTTTTTAAAACTTTTTGGCAGAGCCTGACTTCATTTACGCTCACGCCACAAGAACCGGCCTGGCGGCTGGCATTGGGACTCGAACCCACAGCCCTTCGACGTGACGCCACTTCAGGGTCCTTGGAAGAACTCGTGTGTCAGTGAACTGAGTTTGCTCAGTTTTTGAGGCCTGGCATATCTACCCCTTAAAATGCGGGGGGATAAGAAGGTCCTAGCCGATGAGGTCGGTCACCAGGTAACTTTTTGTTGTCTATAGGCTGAAGCAAGGAAGAGGGGAAAATCCATCGCTGCTTGTTGCATCAGGCAGTGCCGAATGTAAAAGTACTGGGGGGGCAGGGGGAGTCTCCAGGTTGCAACCTGGTAACCCTGTTTTGCAAAGATGCAGTCTCATTTCAGGCTGGGGAATTGTCCTTGCTTGATACGCCAACCGTTTCTTCATTGGTCGGCATTACATTTTTCCCTCTCGAAAAATCGTTCTGTGGGACATCTGCTAGCTCCTTAAATCAATGACATTCGTTTGCACTTTCACAAAACCTTTTCCCAGTGATTTCCCTAGTGGTGAGAAGTCCTACCCCCCCACACCCCCATTTATTCTCCCTCTCTCTATATTTGTTGAACGAAAGGACTGTGCACTTGAAATTTTCCATGTTTATGCGTCTCTTTTATCATTGTTTTTTTAAACCTAGAAATATTCTAAAGTTATCATTATTCATTGCACCTTAGAAACCCCTGACTTCAAAATCCATACCCAACACAGAGGGTAATCCCTTGGATTAGGATGAACTAATGTGTCCTAAAATACTGAGCTAAAGCTTTTGAGTCCTCCAGAATTCTTCTTCCGGCTAGACTTTCAGTAAAGATATTTTTTATTAAATAAGTAGGAGAAAAGGGGGATGAGAAAGATCTTTCAAAGCGTAATAGAAAAGGCCCAGTCCAAGATTTGTTTACGATGGAGTGCAGGAGGTGTTATGCAATCAATATTTAGGTTAGACCTTGCTAGGTTCCAGACAGATTTCAGGTTGCCCCGGAGGGCTCCTTGGGTCAGAAAAGCGATAAATGGCTGTTCAAGCCTTTGAAAAGATACAGGCTGCTCATAATCTGGGTTTTCTTTCAAATGGAGTGATAGCCAGGGTCTAGTGCATTCTATTGCACCTCCCAGAATCCCAGAATTCGATAGCGGGTGCAAGATTCGGCATCCCGAGCTTCCATTCAAAATGAAATATTTCCAGTCCCGACCACTGTCTAGAGAGTTTGAAAGGCGAGTAGCGAATCTCTGATTATATCTCTGGCCCAAGAAAACTTCCGGTGGTCACGGGAGGCCCTTATGTTCCCCGTCGAAGATCTTGCTGTTCTCTGCAGCTAGGAAAATAAAGCTGGAGGAAAATGGTTACTTGGATTTTATTTTCACCATTTGGAGGCAGCTTGGATCGCTGCTCCTGGTGTGTGTGCGTGCTCCTGGTGGTTTTGCTCCTGGTAAACAGGTTGGGCAGGTTTTTGTACCATTTGGGGGTGGAACTGCATATTACACAGCCGTTACCTATCTACCAGTGGGAATGAAGCAAGTATCAGGACTGAGAGCGTGCGATTCCAATCTAATAACAGTGTAATCCTAAACAGAGTTAAAGGTAAAGGTTCCCTTGCTCGAAAGCCAGTCGAGTCCGACTCTAGGGTTGCGGTGCTCATCTCCATTTCAAAGCCAGCGCTGTCCGACATTTCCGTGGTCATGTGGCCGACATGACTAAACACTAAGGCACACGGAACGCTGTTACCTTCCCACGGAAGTGTACCTATTTATCTACTTGCAATTTCTTGCTTTCGAACGGCTAGGTTGGCAGGAAAAACAGAGTTACACCCTGCTAAATCCGTTGAAACCAGGTGGGTTTAGATGGGCATAACTCGGTTTAGGATTGCACTGTAAATAACTCACTCCTGATGCCTTTTCATCATTTAGGGGCATATATTCAGCGGTTCCCCAGACACAAAACGGCATCTCCTTCTGACATGTAGAAAAGCGGCTCCTCCATTTAAGATTGTCAACATCAACATAGGGCCTGGAATTTTCCCAGAAGTACAACTGACTACAGAGATCTGTTGCCCTGGAGGTAATGGCAGCTTTGGAGGGTAGACTCTGTTTCCTCAACTCTGTGGTATACCACAGATTCTAGGAGAAATGGAAGTCCTAGAGTAGCATCACATCCCCACTTAACTCTCTCCCCTTCCCCAGGGACTGCCCCCAAAATCTCCAAAAAATTTCCAAGCTGGAGATGGCAACCCTAATTTCAAACATGTCTTTTTGACTACAGAGAACAGAGAAACTTTGCCTCGATAACATTGTGGCTTGAAAATTTGGAGTGTGCCGCTGCTACATCATGAAGTGGAATCCTTCTGAAATTATCCAGATTCCTCCCCAGGTTTTTGAGTTCCATTGTGGTGCGTTAGAATTTCTCCATTGATCCTTTTTTTAAAAAAAATTGCCAGATTTTGTATAGTGCACTGCAGAGTGCTGCAGTTTGCATCATTTCACTCCTTTGGATTATCAGTAAAGACACAGCAAATGTTTAAAAACCCTTCAAAAGAGCAAACTTGAAGTGTTTATGTTTCTATCAAGATTCTCCCTGTTATTTGGAGTCGGCACACCTACACATTGGGAAAACACTGCACACACACACACAAAAATCTTGCGATGTTAGGATCACAGGCTGCCTTCTTTGTGCTTCCTCAATGCACAAATGAACTGAAGCAATTGAAAGCTACAGCAAACTGCTCACGCTCCAATTCCTGAATTAATTTTAGAAATTCTCCTGGCTTAAACAGAATTAAGGAACTGTGGAATGCAGCACAGATGGATATTCGGAGCCAAAGAAAGAGCAGAATAGGGGGAATCCGTTCACCCCTAATTGGTGCGTTCTCTGTTATTACGCATTACTGACAGTGCTATCCTAAGCAGACTTATACCCTTCAAAGCCTGTTCCTGTCAATGGACTTAGAAGGGTGTAACTCTGTGTAGGACAGCACTATGAGAGAGTGCGGAGAAGATGCTACAGAACTCGTATTTCTAAAAATAACCTTTTGGGGGGCCATGAAGTCACAGCCGACTTATGGTGACCCTGTAGGGTTTTCGAGGCCAGAGATGTTCAGGGGTGGTTTGCCACTGCCTGCCTCTGCGTTGTGACTCTTTTATTCTTTGGTGGTCTCCCGTCCAAATACTGAGCAGGGCCAACCCTGCTTAGCTTCCGGGATCTGACGAGATCGGGTCAGCTCAGACCATCCAGGTCAGGGTCATGGTAACTACGGGGCTGTAATATACAGTTGCACCCATCAAAACTTGCAAAACAGTCCACCGTTGGACAAAACACCTGAGCACACCATGGGAAGTGAAGCCCATCTTGGCCCACTTCTCGACTCTCCTGAAAGCAATTTCTGTCTCCGGTCTAAGTTATGCAAAAATATGCAAATGCATAGCAATTTGCTCAATTTCCACATCCTATTCAGGTTGCAGCTTTTCCTGGCATCGGGTTTATATGCGCTCGTCCTGAATGTTAACGACAGGACCCACAACCCTATGCAGGTGTGTGTATGTTAGGATTCTGCTGAATTCGGCTTTCTGAAAATCTTAGCTGTTTGTTTTGTCTTGTTGAAGAGCAAGCGTCTCGTTCTTACGGTTAGGGCAATGTGTTTGAAAGTCTGTGTGCGACGCTGCCGGAATCACCAATCTCCCAAAGCCAAAGATTTCCACGGGAAGGACTTCTGTGGCCTGACTGGACAACAGCTCAAATGACACATAAACAAGTTGGTCAATTTGCATAATTTATCCAGGTTGCAGAAATGGGCTTTTTGTTTCAGAATTTCCATTACCTCAGTGCAGATTTTCCCTTTTTGAAGGGAACCCCTGGTTACAATCAGGGGTCGTTTCGTAGAAAAAGAGCTAGGGGAACTCATTAGCATAACTCATTAGCATATGCCACACCCCCTGACATCACCGGAAGTGTGTCATAAGGCCACACCTCCTGACATCACCGGAAAAATGTCATAAGGCCACACACCCCACCCCCAACGGTCCCGGCCGCCGGTGCCGGCCTTGCAGCTCCACTGCCAAGCCCCATTAAGGGCCCGGCGGTGGACCTGCAAGGCCGGCGGGAGTGCAAGGAAGCCCCACCAAGGCCCTCCCTGGCCCCAGGCAGGCAGGGGTGGGGAGAGGCAGGGAGGAAGCAACTTACCCTCCCTCTTCTCCTGCCTCCTCCTGGCTGAATGAGG